GTGACTTGTTACTGTTAAGTTTATCAATTAATTCCAAAACCATCTCTAGTGACACCTCAATCTGTGACAATTCCTCAGATTTGTCACCTACAAAGGATGGCTCAGGTTTGGGAATCTCCCTAACATCCTCAGCCATGAAGACTGAAGCAAAGAATTCATTTAGTTTCTCCACAATGACTTTATTATCTTTAAGTGCTCCTTTTGTATCTCAATTGTCCAGGGGCCTCACTGGTTGTTTAGCAGGGGGTTGGACTAAATGACCTCCTGAGGTCTCTTCAAACCCTAATCGTCTCTGATTCTATGATTCAGTAAGTTCTTGGAATGTTTTGGAGCAACTTTTTGTTTCAGGAATTGGAGAAAGTGACTAGGGGACAGCGTTTTTAGACTTGATTCTGAGCAACAGGGTAAGGCAGTGGTTGCCAACCTGAAGGTAGAAAGCAAGTTGGGTAAAAGTGATCCGATGCTGTCATGATTCTAAGGAAAGGAAGGAGTCAGAGCAGTGGAATAAGGACAATGGACTTTAGCCAACTCAGAGAACTGGTAGGGAGCATGTATCTCAGAGAACTGGTCGGGAGCATGTATCTCAGAGAACTGGTCGGAAGCATGTATCTCAGAGAACTGGTAGGGAGCATGTATGATGTTTGGGGGATCACCCAGACCAGGCAGGAGTTCTGTCACCACCTGTCCTGTAACCTTCAGGTGCCTTGGTGCTGTGCTGCTGTGGCTCAGAGCCCTGACACCTGTGGCCAGCCCACAAGCACAAGGTCTCACCCCGGCTTCCACCAGCCTAGTTACTCCTTGCAGTGTGACCTCAGCAGCCCTTCTAGTCCTGAGTCTTCCCAAATCCATCCTTCCTCAGTTCTTAACCACCATACACTCAGACCCTTCCCCTCTGGTTCATCATGCCAAAGGTGTGAAACCAGTCCCCACTTATCATAGACTCATAGAAGATTAGGGTTGGAAGAGACCTCAGGAGGTTATCTAGTCCAACCTCCTGCTCAAAGCAGGACCAACACCAATTAAAGCATCCCAGGCCTTAAAAACCTCTAAGGATGGAGATTCCACCACCTCCCTAGGTAACCCATTCCAGTGCTTCATCACCCTCCTAGTGAAATAGTGTTTCCTAATATCCAACCTAGACCTCCCCCAATGCAACTTGAGACCATTGCAACTTGTTCTGTCATCTGCCACCACGGAGAACAGCCGAGCTCCGTCCTTTTTGGAACCCCCCCTTCAGGTAGTTGAAGGCTGATATCAAATCCCCTCTCACTCTTCTCTTCTGCAGACTAAACAAGCCCAGTTCCCTCAGCCTCTCCTCGTAAGTCATGTGCCCCAGCCCCCTGATCATTTTCGTTGCCCTCCGTTGGACTCTCTCCAATTTGTCCACATCCTTTCTGTATTGGGGGGCCCAAAACTGGATGCAATACTGCAGATGTGGCCTCACCAGTGCCGAATAGATGGGAATAAAATCACTTCCATCGATCTGCTGGCAATGCTCCTACAAATGCAGCCCAATATGCCGTTAGCCTTCTTGGCAACAAGGGCGCACTGCTGACTCATATCCAGCTTCTCGTCCACTGTAATCACCAGGTCCTTTTCTGCAGAACTGCTGCTTAGCCAGTCGGTCCCCAGCCTGTAGCAGTGAATGGGATTCTTCCTTCCTAAGTGCAGGACTCTGCACTTGTCCTTGTTGAACCTCATCAGATTTCTTTTGGTCCAATCCTCCAATTTGGCTAGGTCACTCTGGACCCTATCCCTACCCTCCAGCGTATCTACCTCTCCCCCCAGCTTGGTGTCATCTGCGAACTTGCTGAAGGTGCAAACTCACTTTGGCACATACACTCCACACAGTCTGCAAACCAGAGACCTGTGAGTGGTAAAAATAAACAAGAGGTCTATTTAATAGAAAAACCACAGACTTCGAGATGAAAGAGTAAGGGAGAGCACAGATACAAGTTACACAGTAAATAAACGGCACCACACAACTTCTGGCGTCACATTACAATATTAGATAAAATCCCCTTTCTAATACAAGTTAGCAATTTCCTTTGAACAGTTTCCCAGCCTACCCACTAGCCATAGGCAGGATCCAGCGTTCACAGACAGCCTCCCACCTTCCAGACTGTCCCCCAAATTCTGGATGAAAAGCCTCAGACACAAGCCTGGTTTTAAAAGGCTTCCCCTGCCTGCCTTGCTTTTCTTTGTCTCTTAGTCCAGGGTGACTCATGTTTATTCAGAATGTGGAAAACCCCTCTTGATTTAAGAGCCAGGATGTCTGTGTCTTTCCATTAAATTTAATGATCCTCCGTTGTCTTTCCCTAGGCTGGGTGGGTACCCGAAGTTGGTTTCATGTAGACAAATGACTTGGGAGGTGCCTCTTCCTTTCTGAGCACTCACTTTAGAGTGAGTGGGGGGAGGGATAGCTCAGTGGTTTGAGCATTGGCCTGCTAAACCCAGGGTTGTGGGGTCAATTCTTGAGGGGGCCATTTAGGGATCTGGGGCAAAAATCTGTCTGGGGATTGATCCAGCTTTGAGCAGGCGGTTGGACTGGATGACCTCCTGAGGTCCCTTCCAATCCTGATATTCTATGATTCAAGCTGGAGCTGAAGTTTTATGAGCACAGTTCTCTATAGACACAAATAAAAGCATCACAAGCATGGCCTGTGTACATACCTCATAATGATTATTAAGTTTAGAGCATGACAAGTGTTCATAAAAGACCTTAGTTTGCATGTGTTTCTAGTACATTAACATTGTGTACAATCAGTTGGTTCAACTGCTTTTTCTTTTGGGTTCAAACCCCCTGTTCTCCCATTGGGGTGTCTGGACCCTGATTGTCACAGGATCCCATGGGAAGAAAATCAAAGGGAAAATGTAGTTCGGGAGAGTTGGCGGTTTCTTGAAGAGACAATATGAAAGGCACAACACCAAACGATACCAGTACAAAGGAAAGATCGGAAGAATAGTAAGAGGCCAATATGGCTCCATTAGGAACTCTTTAATGACCTGAAAATCAAAAAGGAATCCTACAACAAGTGGACATATGACAAATCACAAAAAGAATAGCACAAGCATATAGTAACAAAATCAGAAAGACTAAGGGACAAAACGAGTTACTAGCAAGGGACATAAAAGGCAATAAGATCAGGTTCTTTAAATACATTATGAGCGAGAGAAACACAAAGTATAGGCCCGCTACTTAGTAGAGAAGGAGAGCTAATAATTTAAGATATCAAGTAGACAGGTGTTTAAGGCCTATTTTGCTTCAGTCTTCACTAAGAAGGTTAATTGTAACTAGCTGCTTAATACAATTAATATTAACAAAAGACTGAAGGAACCCCAGCCAGATTAGGGAAAGAACAGTTTAAAGAATATGTAGATAAATTAGATGTATTCAAGCTGGCAGGGCCTGACAAAATTCACCATAGGGTATTTAGGGAACTAGCTGAAGCAAGCTCAGAAACATTAGACTCTTTGAGAACTCGTGGAGGATGGGGGAGGTCCCAGAGGGCTGGAGAAGAGCGGACATAGGACCTGTTTTTAAAAAGGGGAACAAAGAGGACCTGGGGAGTTACAGACCAGTCAGCCTAACTTCAATCCATGGAAAGAACTGGAATAAATAATTAATCAATTTGTAACCACCAAGAGAATAATTGCCAGGATCCCAACAAGGGCAGTCATGGCCAAGGGTCAGAGCAAGGGCAATCCTGAGGCTGGGAGTAGCAGAGGAGTTCGTAGTCAGGTCCAGGCCAGAGTCAGTACCAAGGGTCATAGTCCGAATCAGGTGGTGAAGTCAGGAGTGCCGCCAGCTTTTCTGCAGCCCTAGGTGGCGGAAGATCTCGCCCCGAAATGCCGCCCCCCACAGAGGCGGCGGAAGGTCCCGCCGCCAAAATACCGCCGCGGTCGCCGCCTAGGTCGCCTAATGGGTTGCACCGGCCCTGGGTGAAGTCCAAATCAAGCCGAGGTCAAGCAAGGAATTCCACAGCAAGGAGCAGGAATGGTTGAGGCAGGTACAGAAGATCTTTGCTGTTGCCTGGACACTTCCTGGAACGCCCCTTGGATTTATATGGGGAAGAGAGCCAATCAGGAGCGATGGGGTTACTGTCTGTCAAGCCCTTAAGGGGGAACTTCTGATGGGCTGTGTGTGATGTACTGCTGAGTGGCAGCCTGGAGCTGTCAGCTGCCTGGGTTCTAGACCTGTAGTTCCTTGCAATAATACGATGGTAAATAATAGCCAATGTGAATTTGTCAAGAACGAGTCATGCCAGGTCAGCCTGATTTCCTTCATTGGCAGGGTGACTGGCCTGTCAGATGGAGGAAGCAGTAGATGTCATAGATCTTGATTTTAGTAAGGCTTTTGACATAGTCCCAAATGACATTCTCATAAGCAAACTAGAGAAATATGATCCAGATGAAATCACGATAAGGTGGGTGCACAAATGGTTGAGAGGCTGAACTCGAATAGTAGTCATCAATGCTTTGCTGTCAGACTGGGAGGGCGTGTCTAGTGGGGTTCTGCAGGAGTCTGTCCTGGGTTTGGTACTATTCAATATGTTCATTAATGATTTGGATAATGGAGTGGACCGTATGCTTATACAATTTGTGGATGACACCAACCTGGGAGGGGTTGCAGGTCCATTAGCACAGACATTGCTGTGCTGGGCACAGAATTCCTACTCTCTATTTAACATTCTTGACTCTTTCTCAGCGGAGTGAGAGAGAGATGTAGTCTTCAGCTGTTTAAATTAGTAACCAGTACTGCACTTGTCTGTACTTGTCTGAAAATGTAACAGACAGCTGGAGCTAGTGGTTTGTGCTCAGGAAAACTGCTTTCAGCCCAGGATAAAATGGGCCGGTATCTCAGGACATGAGGACTGCAGTGGGATCCAGATGCGTCTCTAATCCACGTGTATTCTGGCTTTTAGAATTGGTTTGCAAAGCAATCCCTTATTCTCTTCTAAACAGTCTAAAATAAGCTGAATTCTTCTGTCCACGACCAGGTATTGAACAGAGTATTGAACAAGAGGAAGGATTGAATAGATCATCTGCTGACCTGAGGATAAGGAAAACGCAGGTGAGTCTCTGTCCTGGTGAATCTTGGTTTGGGAGGATGGAGGTTGAGACAAGCTTTGCGCACTGTGTTCCAGAAGGTGATGGAGGACAGAGGCTGCAGGTATTCTGCCCAGAGCCCTGAAAAGCACTTCACAGTAATGGGGCAGATTGCTAGGTGTGTCTGCAAAAGAGTGTGCATGCTTTGTGCACCCCCAGCTTGCATGCCTGAAGACCCAATGTGATTCCCATGATCTGTGTATGTAATGTAATAAAGGGGTGCGTGCATCCAATGCCTCACATGGGTGTGCACATTAGGGCTTCTGTGTGGGTAACTCGGGTGTGTGGGGTTTTGCACACACGTTTTGAAATATCTGGCCCAGTGGGATTTTATTGAACCAAGAAATAAACTATAGTACACACACCTTGGGGACAGAAAGGTCCCTTCTGCAGTGGGTGCTAAACCTGGCTCCTCAGTGCGCTTTAAAGAGCATGGAAAGATGCTTTGCAGGATCATAAGAGATGTCAAAGCTGAATGACACTGTCGGGAAGTTTATGCCCTAAAAGTGATTAGAATATAAACTTCTGGATTGCGCTCTGCAGACCCATAATCTGCTCCTGGAAATTCACTACCTTCGTGGGGCACCACCCTGTCTGGCAGCCTGGGAAATAGCAGCGTTTGAATAGTTAAAACAATTCTATCTCCCATTGCAAAGGAATTCTTTGGTAACTGGCACCATCTCAGTTAGCAGGTTTCTTACTGTATTGTCACAGCGATGTGGCAATAAGTCCTACTTTATTAGCAAAGGGTTTTCAAAGGAATAAGAGGAAATTGCTGTAAGTACATTAGAATCGAGCATTGTAAAAGCAAGTCTAATGCTGCCCTGGGTTCTATTAATGGGAGCACCAGGTGAAACAAGGGGGGTGATTATTTCCCCCTACTCAGCACCAGGGAGACCCAGGGCTCATGTTATATGTTAAGTTTTAGGCACATGGACAGAGAGATTCCAGAGGTGAGCAACAGTAATGATAACTTAAGAGCTGTGAGAACAGAAGAGGAGATGTGGGGTATTTGTCACAGAAGAAAGCCAGGCAGAGGGGGGGCACAGTGCTGGTGTACAGGGACATCCAGGGACATCCAGGCAATGCTTAGATACTCCAGTAGTGGGCGCCTTAGCCAAATCTTTTACAGATCCATAATAAGCTGTTCTGAGGAAGGCGTAGCACTAGAGGGCACTGCCCCTGGGCGAGGCGTCTGCCAGGGTATCTCCTGTACCAGTGAAGAGAAAATTGGAGATGGATATAAACTGGCCATCAACAGGTTTAGGCTCAAAATTAGGCAAAGGTTTCTAACCATCAGAGGAGTGAAGTTCTGGAATAGCCTTCCAAAGGGAGCAATGGGGGCAAAAACCTAACTGGCTTCAAGACTGAGTTTGGTAAGTTTATGGAGGGGATGGTATGACAGGACTGCCAGTAGCAAAAATCCCCAGTGGCTGGAGACGGGACACTAGATGGGGAGATCTCCGAGTTACTAGAGAATTCTTTTCCAGGTATCCCCTTGTGGGTCTTGCCCACATTCTCAGGGGCTAACTGATCTCCACATTTGGGGTCAGGAAGGAATTTTCTCCCGGGTCAGATTGGCAGAGACCCTGGGGTTTTTCACTTTCCTCTACAGCATGGGCACGGGTCACTTGCAGGTTTAAACTAGTATAAATGGTGAGTTCTCTGTAACTTGAAGGCTTTAAACCGTTATTTGAGGACTTCAGTAACACAGCCAGAGGTTCGGAGTCTATCACAGGAGTGGGCGGGTGAGGTTCTGTGGCCCACAATGTGCAGGAGGTCAGACGAGATGATCACAATGGTCCCTTCTGACCTTAAAGTCTACGAGCCACAATGTCCAATAGAGCCTGTACAGTCTTAGGCAGCATGCATACATCCGGTCACAGACAAGGAAGGAAATGAATGGCCCTGGTAACCTTTTCCAAAGTGACGTAGCGACTTACAAGCTGAGATCTCATGAGACTAGCTTGTGCTAAAATCTTTAAAGAGCTGCGCATAGCTTGGCCAAATGTCAATTACATGGGTAGATGGTAGCCATCCACATGTATTTGAAGGGTGCAAAAAGCAAGAGGGAGCAGAATTGTATAGGGATGGTACAGCAGGGTTAGACGTAGGAGTAATGGGATGAAACTGAGCCAAAGCAAACATCAGGGAGAAGTGTTTTAGGAGTAGTGCGATGTACTAGACATTGGGGTACCCGGAATGGTAGTGGACTGATCCCCTGAATCATTTGAAATTGGACTGGGGAAAGCCCTGGGGAATATACTCTAGGGAACAATCCTATGCTGGGCCAGTCCTACCTGGAGGAATTGACATAGTGTGAGAAGCAATTAGATTGGCTGTTTCACTGCCAATAAATCATTCTCATCTCTAGCTTCTCTGAGGCCTTGTCTGCACTGGCAAGTTTCTGCACAGTTAAGCAGCTTTCTGCGCTGTAACTCCCGAGGTGTAAACACTGCCAAGCCACTGAGTGCGCAGAAACTGCGCCATTGCAGCATTGTAAAAAAACCACCCTGACAAGAGGCGTACAGCTTTCTGCGCCGGGGCTACAGCGCTGCTGTGCCAGTGTAGACACCATGGCAATTACAGTGCTGCGATTGGCCTCCGGGAGGTGTCCCACAAAACCTGTTCTCACCTCTCTGGTCATAAGTTTGAGCTCTACTGCGCTGCCCTCAGGTGACCAACCAGGAGCCCCACCCCTTAAATTCCTTGGGAATTTTGAAAGTCCCCTTCCTGTTTGCTTGGTGACACGTTCAGTGGTCTCAGCGCATCTTTCCAGGTGACTATGCCTGCTCCACGCACCAGGTGATCCCCCGCTTGGAGCAGTGCCGAGCTGCTGGACCTCATCAGCATTTGGGGAGAGGAGGCTGTGCAGTCACAGCTGTGCTCCAGCCGGTGGAATGATGATACCTATGGACAGATGTCACGATGCATGACAGAAAGGGGCCCTGACTGGGACACACTGCAGTGCAGGATCAAAGTGAAGGAACTGTGGAACACCTACCACAAGACGCGAGAGGCAAACCACTGCTCCGGTGTTGCACGCACGAGCTGCCGGTTCTACAAAGAGCTGGACGCGACACTCGGTGGCGACCCCACCTCCACTGCGAAGGCCATTGTGGATACATCGAGAGTGGACCGAGCCAGGAGGAGGAAATCTTGGACGAGGATGTGGAGGGGGTGGGGGACCCAGAGGCAGAGGACGACTCAGAGATCAGAGATGCATGCACCCAGGAGCTCTTCTCTACCCCGGAGGAGGCTAGCCAGTCACAGCTGTCGGAGCTTGGTGAAGCACAAACAGGAGAGGAGGCCCCCGGTAAGTGGCTTTGATTTTGGGAATCACTGAGTGAGTTGTTGGGGGCAGGAGGGTTGCAGAAAGCAGGCTTGTGTCTGTATGATGCGTGTACCACCACATGCCTAGTCTGAGCGGCAGAACAGAGTGTTGATTGACTCCCTCACTTCACGGGAATCTGCCTCAGAGATCTCCACGAAACTCTCATGGAGATACTGGGCAATCCGCTTCCGCAGGTTCTTTGGCAGAGCTGCTTTGTTTCTTGCCCCATTAAGGGTAACTTCCCGTGCCACTCTGCCGTCACTGAGGGAGACGGGGGACACCATTGCTGCACACAGGTAAGCCGCATAAGAGCCAGGGCAGAAGCCGCAGTCTTGGAGAAGACCCTCCCTTGATTCCCTGCTCACCCTCAGCAGCAAGATATCTTCCATAATGAACAGAGCCTGTGGAAAATGTGAGGAGAGTAATGATTATCAGGCCCCCCCTACAGTGCTGGCTCTCCCCAAGAGCCACATGCCCAGTGTGCAGTATGATTCCCCTGCCCCTGCGGTTACTCACCATTGTGGGGGGTCTTGTGGCTCATGTGTGCTTGCCTGGGGTCAGTCAGTTAGTGACAGGTATGTGAATAGTGGCTGTGTTTTAAATTACTGAATCAGTGGTCTGTGTTGCAAACAATACTGCTTCTATAAAATGTTGCATTTCGGCTTCGCAGATATGACCTTAGGAGGCCAGCCTCCTTCTTTGTTATCGCCAGCTGAATGGCTGCGCAGAATTAGAAAGTCGCCACGAAGAACTAAAGAGGACTTTCTGCATGGTGTCATGATGCACTCCGCTGCCGAAAAACAAGAATTGAAGGAGTGGCAGGACAGTGAGAAGAGGGACCGAAAGGCGAATGTGGCACGCCAGAACGAAGCCAAGGAGCGGCTCTTAAAAGTTAAGAAGCGCCAAGCGGACACACTCCAGGTGCTACTAGCACACCAAATCAAGCAGCTCCATGCCCGCCCTCCCCTGCAGCCCCTGTCCCAAAACACTTTCCCATGCGCCCCCCAGACACTGCCAACACACTCTTGCATTCCACTCCTGCCCATCACAGTCCAGCCCTGCGGACTCCCAGTACCCACTGCACTCAACACCCGTCCCTCTGCACTTTAGCCCTGCTGAAGTACAGTACCTACTGCACTGTACTCCAAAGGACAAGGTTGCATATGATACTTAGACATATACAAATCTTTAACCGTCTGGGGACCCCACCTCCTCCTGGGACCCTCTCTTCCCCCATCCTCCACAGTGCTGATGTGTTTTTTTGTTTGTCTCTCTCCTCTGGTTGTTGTTTTTTAATAAAAGAATTGTTTTGGTTTGAAAGCAATCTTTAGTCCATTAATTGAAAGCAAACAGAGCCCTGCAAAGCAACAGGCAATTTTCTTAAACCTTCATAATGCATCATCTGCACCAATCACAATCACCTCCTAGCATTACAACAACTGCACTTCCAAGCATAGCAACAAATATTAGTGGATTTCAGCTTCAAATTGCTGCCTTAAGGCATCCCTGATCCTTATGGCCCCATGCTGCGCCCCTCTAATAGCCCTGGTCTCTGGCTGTTCAAATTCAGCCTCCAGGCGCTGAGCCTCAGCGGTCCAGCTCTGAGTGAAGCTTTCACCCTTCCCTTCACA